CCAGCAATGATGAAATCAGCATAAAGTTAAGTCGTGCTCTCCTCCTCCATCACCCATTTCTTTTGGTTCTGGAGGAGTAGAAAACCCAGATTTGCAGTTGATAGGGAAAGAGTGGAGAAGGAGAACATTGTATTGAAGGGATCAGGGCATCTTCCCTGTTTCGCATGGCAGGACGGTTTCCACTTCTTACATCACTGGACTGTGGTCTTAGATTGTTAAAGTTTCCCTTTCAGCATATGGATGGAGATTTCCTTTAAAACTTTTTCCCTTCATTAAACTCTAACCAATCACCAATGTGATTTTTAGATCAGTTTAGAGATACTGGATATACTACATAAATAGCACAACTGGAAAGGGTGAATGTTTTTGTTTTTTTCAATACACAAGGGATTATTTGTGTGTTTTTTAATAAGTGGAGACTAAATGAAAGATTGCAACCTTCTTATGCCTTTTGAACTTTTGAAATGTTATTTTGATAAGGTGTACACAGTTTTGTTCTTGCTAATAGTATTTGTTTTATTGTGGAGTAATTTGTTTATACATTTTAAAGTTATAAATAAACAAAACAAGAGCCCCTCACTTCCTTTGAATGCTGATGTATGTGTGGAAGAGGGATTGTAGCCCATTGTAGAGACTCTCCCTTTGGACTAGGGGTGTTAAATATTTTGGATTAATGAAGAGAAAGTATCTTCTTTCTTTAATCAATTTAGAACAAAGATTTTGCCTTATGCAGATATCCTGATTCTGAGTTTAAAAACTGTTCCACTTGTCATAGATGGGACTGTTTCATCTAAGATGTACCTTCACTGTCACTGAGCATACTGTGGCAGAGATAGCCACTTTATGGAAAGAGACATGTCGCCTTTAACAGTTGCCAAATATTAATAGCTGATGCTTCTTTCAGAATCAGCACCCATGGATATGAAAAATGTTGCCTTCCTGCCTATCGTAGAGCTGGAGGAAGTTTGGTCTTTGGATCAGAGCCTCCAGAACCCTCCAGTCAGCCAGCAAATGTGAACTTCATGGGCACAGAGTTGGCAAAATGGGCAGAGCCAAGGCAATGTCAGGAGAAAGAGAGAAAGAGGTGAGGGTGTGGAAATATGAAGGTTTTGCTTTCTGGGTATAAAGGTTGTGTTTTTCAAGGGCTGAAAGGCAAAGGCTGGTTGCTGCAAATGGTGTGTCTCACTTGGTACTCAGCAGTGCCTCAGAGGCAGGAGATTGCAGGGAGAATTGGTCATCATGTTCTCCCACTTAATTTGGTGATTCATTTTCTTTCCACATGCAAATTAATGAATAAGTAGAATAAAGCATAAGTAGGGAAGTAGTTACTAGCAGCATAACTACTAATTGAATAAGGCACTAAAATAAAACAAAACTGCAACCAACCTTCTGTTATGTCACATGCCAGCCAACATTCACATGCTCAAAGCCATATAGGGTTATTGTCACTGATGAGGCTGCATTTATGTCATTTTAATGGCTTTGTGGTCTCTCTAGTATGAATGTTTGCCCATAAGACAATCACGTGTAGTAGCTCACTTGCTTCAAAATATGGCAAGGCAGTCTTGTTAAATATGAGGGCACCACTTCATCATTCTATTGAAGAGAACCCTTGAGCACCACCCTAGAGGGCTGCCGTGATATCTTTCATTGAACCACTCAGAATAGTGCATCACACTAATTGAGTGGTGTAGAAATCAATGAAATAAATGAATAAATAATGAATAAAATAATAATAATTCTGTAATTTAACAAATATTGAAGAGCCATGGAGGTGATAGAGTCTCATGGATTAATGGCTGTTCAACCCAAAAAATCACAGCTTCACATATCATGCTTTGAACAACATAGAACTTCTACATGGACATTACATTTGGGAGGTCCTTTTTGTGTCACAAAACATTTTATGAAAGTTTTTAGTGCTTCCAGGAGGTCATATCCTCTCCTATTTGTCCTAGACCCAGCAAACAAAGGAAGACCGGAGCATCATTCAAGGTGCTGTATACCTTTCCTTTTGCCAATGTTGATGTTTAACCCAGCATGGTTCCTGGTATTCTTGTTCATGTTTCAAGTGCTGAAAAAGTAATTTTCAATCCCATGCTCTGTGTTTCACCCTGACCTCATTGAAAAAGAAACTGTAGGGTCAGTTGTGTTTATAACACAATATATTAAAACAGGAAAATATGCAAAGCCTTTATTCACTGAGATCCGGCTATTGTTAAATCAAAAATGATATTTTTGCTGCTTTAAAAAGCCATTGATTGCTTTACATATAACTTTGCTGTTTGTATGCCTCCCTACACCACGTATTTCTGCATCTTGTATTTCATATAGGAGCACTCTCTCTCTCTCTCTCTCTCTCTCATACACACACACACACACACACACACACACACACACACAGAGAGAGAGAG